GTGTACAAGAGACACTGGATCATAATGAGGGGAGACCAAGGGGATATTATCGAGTCGAACTAGATAGAGGTTGGTGTGATTGCGAAAAGTTTCAAGCATTTTGCATGCCTTGCTCTCATGTCATAGCGGCATGTTCGCATGTTCGCTTGGACCCAATACAACATGTATCCCCCGTGTACACGGTAAAGAGTGTTTTAAGTGTGTACATCAATACCTTCTCTGTGTTGGCAAATGAGGATTACTTGCCTGCTTATGAAGGGGACATTGTTTGGCACAATGAACAAATGCGACGGAAGAAAAAGGGGCGCCCGAAAATCACTCGTATTAGAACTGAAATGGATACGGCCAACAAAATGATAAGATTATGCGGTACAGGTCGTCTTCCCAGATACAATCGGAAAAATTGTCCAAATATTGGGTCTAGCTCTGCAACATAACTTTTTTATAGCAAACTATCCGGAGTGTTTAATTTTTTGTACGCAATATATTTCAATTTAAATTCGAGATATCATTTCGTGTTCAATTTATCATTCGATTACAACAACTTTTACATCATGACATAAAAAATTACAACACCACATACTCAGGACAACAATACGACAACATGATAAATAGACAAAACAACTAAACAAATCATAATATCTAAGAGATAAAGATCATCAACACAATATCCTCTGGTCCAAGCATCATCATCATGACATCAGCGTCGCATCTCACCTTTTTCTATGATCGACTTACTCCATTTTCGTTCCTCATTGTGATATGCCTTTCTATTTTTCTGATTTGTTCACCTTCAGGAATGTCTCCTTCCAACCAGCGAATCAAGTGCCTCTGAAAATGCTCGAACGTCTGTGTATTCCAGAGTTTGATCTTCACCGAAGGCTTTGTCGCCGAAAAAATAACATGCGCATCTCTTTTGATCAGTGAAAACTTTGGCAAGGGAGTTGAAGACATTTTCTAAGAGTTATGTAACAAATGGTGTGGAAAAATGAAGAGGATAGGTGGTTGTATTTATAGAAAGTTGCAATTACACTGTCAAGTCAAGGAGGGTGGCGCCTCCTCTCAAAAACACATGCATGCGCCACACTGCATGACTTTACAGAGGAGGACAAGCCATGCAGTATGGCGCCTCCTCTTTAAATTGAGTGCATGCGCCACACAGAGTGGCTATTCCTCTGTGTGGTAAAAAAAAATTGTTTGAAAATGTGGTTATTTGGAATTTTTTTTTTTGAAAAAAGTGGTTATTTAAAAAAAAATTCTCCAAATGGACATCCAAAAGACGTACGATAGTGTGGATTGGCAGACTCTGAAAGATATTCCGGTTGAGATGGGTTTTTCTAACAGATTCATCAAGTGGGTTATGAAGCTGGTTATATATGTGTCTTATAGGTACAAGATCAATAATGAGATGTCTGATATTGTGGTGGCCAAAAGAGGCTTGAGACAATGGGATCCCCTGTCGCCTCTCCTCTTTATTCTCATTATAGAATACTTGCATAGGTTGCTCCATAAGCTTGATAAGAATCCTGAATTTAAATTTCACTCGAAGTGTGGAAAGCTGAATATTATAAATCTTAGTTTTGCAGACGACCTTCTAGTGTTTACCAGAGGAGACTCTAACTTTGTCAAGCTTGTCATGAATTCCATCAAAGACTTATCTGAGGCTATTGGTTTAGAGGTTAATCCTAGAAAGTGTATAGCAAATTTTGGTAATATGTCTGAAGAGGCAAAGAAAAGTATTCTGATAATCACTGAGTTTGAAGAAGGTCTCATTCCCTTTAGATACATAGGGATTCCTCTGTCTAGCAAAAAAACTAATTGTGGATAACTGTATGGGTTTGGTGGACAAAATTGTCAGTAGAATTAGTCATTGGAGATCGTGTCTGCTTAGTATGGCTGGTAGATCTCCACTTATAAAAAGTGTCATTTTCTCTATCCATAATTTTTTGCTGTAGAGCCTCCCTATGCCCAAGCAAATCATTAAAAGGGTTGAAGCTATTTGCAGAACCTTTTTATGGTGTGGTGTTGAGGCCGTTTCTCAGAAATCCCCTGTTGCGTGGAAGAAGGTTTGTGCTCCCAGGAATAAGGGGGTCTTAATATTATCAACCTTCAGGAGTCGAACAGACCGTGCATGGCGAAGAACCTTTGGAACCTGAACCAGAAGGCGGATAGCCTTTGGATTAGATGGATACATGCATGCTACATCAAAGGGTCGGACATTATAAATGTGCCTGTGAGGAAGACTGCATCCTGGATAATTACCTTCATTCTGAATATCAGGAACGAGTTTGTTGACTTACAGGTTTGGCACAATATGCTTCTCCAGGACTGGTTCAGTACCAGAAAAATTTATCAGGGCTTCAAGGACCAAATTAATGATGTGGTAAAACTGAGACCCTGGACCATCTGTTTTACGAGTGCATGGGGGTTAAAAAGATTTGGAAGAGTATCATTAAGTGGGCTTAGTATTGATCATAGTTCAATGGACTAGAAGAATGAGATCCACTGGATGAGCAATATGTGTAAGAAAAAAGGGAACAAATTTAAGATTCATCAATGTGCCTTTACCGAAACCCTCTATGAATGTTGGCGTTTTCGGAATGAGAAGTGTTTTGGGGTAACCCTTGTTACAAGGAAGCTATCTCTAAGATTATGGATGCTAAGATGTTAGGAGGTGTCCAAGTTACGGCCTCTCATAGGCCAGATTCTCTTGCAGTACGCTCTAGTAGTTTTTGTTTGTTTTTTCCTGGTATTTTTGATTTGTTGGATCCTTTGGATCACTCGGACTGTATGCTTTTTTGTCTCAATATATATAGTTTTTTATTCAAAAAAAACTAATATAGATATTTTTTATTTATAATTAAATATATTGAGATTTTAATTATTTATTTATATTTTTAGATATTTCATGATAAAATATGAAATTTTCATTTTTTTTTTATTTTGGAATTAATTTAACATAACATTTTAAATTTGAGATCTTAATATTTATTACACTAGACATTAATTAATGTAATTATTTTAAATATATGAGAATAAATATATATTATTTACTATAGGTTTTAAATTTCTATTTTTTTATAGTTGTACTCTTTAACATATTCAGATTTTCATTATTTATTTATTTTTTAAATATTTTATTTTTTGCTCTTGAATCTTTTTAATTTTTTTAATAAATATTCTAAAAAAAAATTAAAATCTTTTAACTAAAATTATTTAAATAAAATTTTATATAAAACAAATAAATAATTATATATAAGTATGTTTTAAGACTCATGTCAAAAAGAAATATAATTGATTGATTAGATAATTTTAAATTAGATAGGTTTGTAAACGTGTAAATATATTTATAATAAATAAAAAATTAACTAACATAAACTTTTTTATTATAAATGTAAAAATGTAAAAGCTTTTACACTTTTGAATCATAATTATTTGTTTAATTTCATCATAATTAATTGTTTTTTTATAAAAAATTATTATTATTTAATGGAAAAAAAAAAGTACATATATTTTCATAAACGAAATAAGTTACATGTATTTTTATAAACAGCAAAACTGTATTGTCAATACAATTGTTTTTATAAAAGAAATATGTTATAAATATTTTTTATTAACGTCAAAAGTGATACAGTTATTTTTGTAAACGGGAATAAATTATTAATATTTTTATAAACATAAAAAATCTATTATTGATAGATGGGAATAAGCTACAAATATTTTATAAATGGGAAAAAAATATTATTGATGCATTTATTTTTCTAAATAGTAATAAATTACAAATATTTTTATAAACGAAAATGAATTACAAATATTTTTATAAGCGAGAAAAATATATCTTTGATAAAATTAAGTTTATAAACGGAATTAAGTTACAAATATTTTATAAACGATAAAAGTTTATTATTGGTACAATTATTTTTATAAACATAAATAAATTACAAATATTTTTATAAACGAGAAATTTTTTGTTTATACAATAATTTTTATAAACTATAAATATTTTTATATTAAGCGCTTATATTGTATCAAATAACTATATTATTTTTACAAATATTTTAAAATACTATTTATATCAGAGAATAACGGTTGATACATAACGGTTGATACATAATAAATTCATATTTTATAAATGATAATATGAATCCAGACATCACATTCGTATCTTAGTAGTTCTTTTTAAATTTCCATTTATTATGATCTTGTGCTTATATTTGAAAACGAACTTCCCTCAAAGAATAGATCTGTACCGAAATAAACTGACTAAATATTTGAAAATGAACCCTCAAAGAATAAATTTGTACCAACATAAACGGACTAAAACCTGTAGTTACTAATAATTATTACCATATACATACAAACATCTCCTTAGTACAATTTCGATGTATAAATCTCTAATAAATGTGACCAGTTATAAGAAAATGTACTCTAAATATACTACTCCATTTCAAAATAATATTGTCCTAGATTTTTTAGAGACTAAAAAACTATAAATATATCTCATAAAGTTTAAATTTTATAAAATCTTCCTTATTAATTATTGGTTGTTAGTCATGGTTAGAAATATAAAATAAAATATAATTATTCTCATGTTCTATTTTGACATTTTGTTACCTAGCGGTGCAACATAACACAAAAACACAACACATCGTGATACTGAATTCTATTGCACCTCAATTTCCATCTGTTTTTGTTTTGTTGATAACCACTCTCAAAAGAGGAGAAAAAAACATCATTTGGTGGAAAGAATGTGCGAATGTAAACAAAAAACACATCAAAACTGATGAATTACAACTATTTTAAGGGTTTGCACGAGAGAACCTAAAATCAAGTCACTTGACATGAATATCTGAATAGCTATTTCTTAAAATACAAACTGATACAAATGAGAGATTACCTCCCGGAATGGAAACATATCCGAGCTGATCATCTGAGAATCTCAATCTCGCAAAAGGAGGGATGCTAATCTTTGCGCCTTAGGAAAAAAAGGCAATTATATATCATTTCCCTTTCTTTTTCTTTGTTTTCTTGCCTGTTTCAACTTTTGGTGGGGTTGGGTCGTTAGGAGCTAATCCTGCTTCAGATGCCTGCGGCTCAGACAACTGCTTCCTTTTCTTAGAACTCGAGGTTCTTGATTTTGCTCCAATAGTCTTCTTCTGGGAAACTAATCCAGATTCCTGCTCTCCTTTATTGTCAGTGACTTGCTGTGAAGCATTACCCATCTCTCCTTTCTTTGTGGCCTGCTTCTTCCTTTTCTTAGAATTCGGGGTTCTTGATTTTTCTCCAATACCCTTCTGGGAAACTAATACAGGTTTCTTCTCTCCTTTATTTTTTGCTCCATTGTCAGTCACCTGCTGTGAAGCATTACTCATCTCTCCTTTCTTTTGAGCCCCGCTGTCAGTGGCCTGCTGCTTCCTTTTCTTAGAAGTCGGGGTTCTTGATTTTTCTCCCATAGTCTCCTGGGAAACTAATTCAAGTTCCTTCTCTCCTTTATTTTCGGCTCCATTGTCAGTGACCTGCTGTGCAGCATTACCCATCACTTCTTTCTTTTCAGCTCCGCTATTAGTGACCTGCTGCGAAGCATTACTACCTGGACTTGCTTTCATTTGTGGTAAATGGCGGAAGCTCCATCGAGCATTTCCAAACCATTTGTCAACCTAAAAGTGAAAAAAGAAGGGTAAACTCGGAGTTGTGTGAGGAAGATGAGCTCAAACGAATGGCAAAGGAAATTACCTGATTAAATGTGAGTCCAATTTCTTGCGCCAAGCTTTCTTTTGTGGCTCGTTCTGGATATTGATTTTCTTTGAAAGTTTTGTAAAGCCTCTGAAAATAAACACGAGAATAGTCACTCTTAAGGTAAATCCTTTACCTAATAAACTTACAAGCAGATTTAGGCGTGTTTTTGTGTCTATGCTTCTTTTGAATGGAAAGATAGAAAAATATAAAAAATCCCTTTTGATTATGAAGGGGTTTGAATAGTGAGGTACTGAATGGAGTAGAAATAACTAGTATTCTTTAAATTTAAGAGGGCCATCAACATTCTCTTCGACATCTCTACTATTGGCTGAAATTCATGTGGATTCTAGAAATTTCCGTCGCACTCGTCCAAAATAGCATACACACAAATTGTATCCCATAGTAGAGTATTGGAAAAGGAGTGTTTGTAGCACATCACAAAATTTAAAAGTTTGATTGACTTCAAAGAATAACACTTGGTTGAGGATGGTAATTATAAACAGTAAAACACACTTGGTTTTTATTATTTTTCTCTGAACTTTGTAGGTACTTTTTTGTAAACTTTTAATCGTAGTTAAATATCGTTTAGGAATGATCTAGATGATTGTTAACTTTCTAGACAAATTCCGATCTTCCTGTCTTTACATATAGTAAGACTGGGTTGAGTTTCTAAAGATGTCAATAATTTTCTACGTCAGGCCAAATTTCAACATTTCATATTTTAGTCTTCCTATGATTGCAAGTTATGTAAAGTGAACACTAACCCAATTTAGAATCAATTATAGTACAATCAGCACCATTAGAAATTCTCTAATGTCGGGATGAACAGGTATGCAAATTAGAATCTTTGTTGAAATATATCCTAAACAGAAAACAAACTTCAAAACCAAATTCAAACAGTAACTAACAATCACCTGAACAGCAGCTTCTCCAAGTTTTTTGTGTGGAGATCCACGCTTTTTACCCCTGGAACCAGATTCCGTGCATCCTTCAAGTGTTTTGGTGGGTGAATTATTTGTATTTTTAACTTTATGCTGATGGGAGTTCCTCTTAGCAGAATGTCTGGAATTATTTGAGGCACTTCCTTTTGGTGACACTGGAATAATTTTGCCAGTTAGTTTCTTTTTTCTACTTGGAGTAACGGTGGCAGCCCAATCTTCATCCTCACTAGTTTCACTGTGGTATGCCTCCTACAATAGGAACATAGCAGTATAAAATATTTGGAGAGGAAAAAAACAAAAGGAAAAATATATTTAACTCCGCATCCCTTCTAGAAGTCCTCGGTTCATGCAATTAGAAAAATGACTGAATTTTGTTTTCTTTTACAGCTAACAAGATTATTAGAGTTCTTTCATACTTAGCAGAACTCAGCAGGAAAATAGAATGAAACAAGTCACTGTGAAGATACTATTCTGATACTGCGAGAATATAATAAATTACCTTATATAAGATATTGATGATATTTCATTATATTCTGACGCATACGAGAAACGTGTATCATGTGACAAATTGTGTAATGTATACACTACTTCAAATAAGAAAAGAAGACCTTGCATGTAGAATCAGAGTATAGTATTTTAAACCTCATACTACAAAGAAGGACTTACTTCGTACAGCTTTTGGTAGTCCAACCTTTCCACATTTCTTTTCCCAGAAACCGGAGTCAAATCTTCTCCACCAAGATCTGGCTCTACTAAAGATGACAGTTCGTCGGCTATAGATGGCTTCTTGCGATTTTGTTTATTAGAACCTTTCCTCTGAACATTATCCAACAATGAAGATGTGACATCACCATCTTGTTCAATGGACATGTTATCCTTAATTGTAGCAGCAAGATCCTCAGAGTCAGATGAGAAATCAGAGTTTGAACTTTCTTCAGTGGCTTTACCATCAAGAATTGGAGCCTCGGGATCATAATCATCATCTTCTGAATCATCAGAAGGAAGACCCATGTATTGATCCTCATGTTGCGTCTCCTCCAATTTCTCAGAAGCAGAAGCATACTCAGATTCGTCAGAACTAGATTCACCTGCTTCAACCTCCACATCCTCTGGACCATTAGGATTATAATCATCATCCTCAGAATCGTCTGAAGGAAGTCCCAAGTTGTTATCCAAGATACTTCCAGCCGCTGTAGCTGCTTCGGGAAAAACCCTCTGAACAAGGATCAGTCACGTAATCAGGAGGGTAAAGATCCAAAAATATATACAACAGAGAAGAGACTAATGACTTCTTTATTATGTTAATTTATGTTTTAGTTTTTTTAACCGTTATATAAAATAGTAATGAAAACCTGTTTATAAAAGAAGTATTATTTGTTTTGATTTTAGTTTCAAAAACAAGAAAATTAAAAATTTGTTTCATAAAACATTTTTACAAAACAAGTTAACAACCAAACAAGGTTTTCAGTTTTTAAAATTTAAAAACAAAACCAAAATCCAGGTTTTAAGAAGGGATCAAATAGGCCCCGAATTTTTCAACTGACCTCCCAAGTGTCAGTAAGAGAGAGACTTGTCCCTAACAAGTCATTAACAATATCAATGCAGTCATCTTTGCAATCACATCCTGGGCATAACCAACCCTCGTCGCCTGGTGGAACTGTAAGCCACATAAGAAAATACATAAATGATAAATAACTCCAAAGCATAAAGTGATCAATTAATCAGGGGGACCAGATATTACTGTCTTCGGTTAACAACGGAGGATCCAAACAGAGCTGGTGATATCCACGGTCACAAGCGCCGTCACAAAGAATTATATCATTATTAGTGCCCAACACTTTGGTCTGGCATTTTGCACAGAATATCTGCAACAAGAAAATTGAAACTGTCACAACTCCAAAATCCTGGGAAACTGGAAGCTTCATTAAAGAATGAATATAAAGGAATAACCTACATCCTCACTATCAATCTCTCCCTCGGAATCAAACAATGATTCAGGAAGCTTTCCTTCAGCACACAATGAATCCAAATTTTGAAATAGATCCCTAATTTTTAATTTACGTCGAAGAATTTCAGACTTAGCCCGTTGAATCTCCTTCTCAGGCTTTAATTTTTCCAAACTGTAAAATTACCACATCATCAATAGAAACAAATTATCCACCACAAAAACAAACAAAAATGAAACAAGCTTTGAAATTGACTATCATAAATAAATGGCAAATGGTCAAATATCATTGAATTCGTCAGTTGTAAACAAAGAATATGCTCAAAAATGACAATAAAATAGAGGGAAATATTGGATCATTATATCAGTACTGAAATAGAAAATTTACTAATGCTTAAATGCAGCATAGAAACTGCAGATGGATCAATGGATGTATATAGTTTCCAAAATTTTGGAGTTAAAACTAATTAATTGAATGACACAAGTAAAATGCCCCACAAAAACTGCATGTGGATTAAAGGTTGATTGTACATAATTTCTAAAATATCAGACTGAAAAGAATCAGTTAATAAAGCGACACAAATAAGATGTGGAATACATGGGATAAGCTTGGAACAACTGATGTGCTAGACTGCTAGGTCAATTGTTTATATCCTGCAGTACAGCCAGGGTACTACAGAATGAATTTTCCCTTAAGCCAATTAGGTAAAACGGGCCTTGCTCAAATCTATACCAAACTGTCTCGGAATTTAGTAACAACAGGAAGGTAAGAGGGTAATATAGCAAGGGACGAACCCCAGGAAAATGGATCATTCAAGATAAATTGAATTCTATAAAGTTACATTTAATGATGTACATTTGTAATTTTATTTTTACACAACTAAGGTAAAATTCAAATGGTCAATAAAGGTAAATCCAAACATGGGTTGATGCATTCTTCAGCAGGAGGATACTGAAGACAAATAATCAGTAGAACCTTTTTTAATCTGGGGGCAATAAATAAGAGGTATAGTACATGTTGAGAACATGGTAAGCATACAAATAACTCTAAATACATCCACAACTATAATCCCAATATTCCAAAACATACAATTATGAACTTGCAATCATTCAACTTGTAAAAGGCAATATACAGGATAAAGATTCTTATGGCATCTCAAAACCAGGACACAAAAGCCCCAGGGGGCAAAATATTGCAGATGCAGTTCCATTTCAGTTGCCCGGCAATTAATCAGTAGAAATGATATTAGCATTATCATATTGACGCTAAGATCAAACATAAATCAGAATGCAAATCCAAATATAGATTACAAGTAAATCAAATCACAGGGTAATGAATAAATTAACACACCTGCCTCCTTTCCAGCCCTCACCAGAATAAGCATCGATCAAGCTCTGTTCGTAGCCCATTCGGTTTAAATAATATCTCAATTGAGCTCTGATTCTAGAAAATTGATCATTAATTCCCTCTTTTCTTGCCTTTTTCTTTTTCTTCTCTTTTTTTGTCTTCGTTTCATCATTGTTAACCTCAGCAACATTATTAATTGGTTCAGGAGCTTTAGGTTTATTATCTCTTGACCGCAGAGCCCTGTCACTGTTTCTCAACGACCTCAATATATACTTCTTCTTCGGTAGTTTTGAGTTACTTTTACCCCCTTGACTCGATCTTGAACGAGCTAAGCTTTTTGACTTTCTTTCTGAACAATCAGAGCTAACATTTTTAGCAACATCTCCAGAAGGTGGATCCCGTAGCTCGTTCAAAGAATCTGTATTCACTTGAGCAGGAATAGATTGTGTGTGGTCTTCAACAGGGCCGGTTACTGTGTCGTTCGTTTCACCAGGCTCATTTGGAAGACTAATATCTTTCACGCCATCTCCAGAAGGTGGATCTGATAGCTTATTTGCAGAATTTGAGTTCACTTGAGCAGGAACGGGTTGTGTTTGTTCTTCAACAACAACGGAAGCTAGTGCATCACTCATTTCACCAGGCTCATTTGGAAGACTAGTATCTTTCACACCATCACCAGAAGGTGGATCTGATGGCTTATTCGCAAAATCCGAGTTCACTTGAGCAGGAACGGATTGTGTTTGTTCTTCAACAACAAGGGAAGTTACTGCATCACTGATTTCACAAGGCTCACTTGGAAGACTAATATCTTTCACACCATCTCCAGAAGGTGGATCCAATGGCTTATTCGCAGAATCCGAGTTCACTTGAGCAGGAACAGATTGTGTTTGTTCTTCAACAACAAATGAAGTTACTGTATCACTCGTTTCACCAGGCTCATTTGGAAGACTAATATCTTTCACGCCATCTCTAGAAGATGGATCCGATGGCTTATTTGCAGAATTCGAGTTCACTTGAGCAGGAACGGATTGTGCTTGTTCTTCAATAAGGGAAGTTGCTGCATCACTCGCTTCCCCAGGTTTATTTTGAAGACATTTGTTTACCGATTTATCATCAGACAAGCAAACAGGGACTTGTTCAGAGGGTTCGGGCAATTGAATAACAGAGTTCTCAGTCATATTCACCAAAACTTGATTTGATTTTTCATCAATAACAGAATCGGTTGCCACAGTACCAAGTACTCTCTGTTTGTTGTCTAAACATTCAGAGCCGATCGTAGCTGTTTTTTCATCAATAACAGAATCAGTTTCATCAGTACCAAGTACTCTATGTTCGTTGTCTAAACCCTCGGAACCAACCTGAGTTGGTTTTCCATCAATAACAGAATTGGTTACGACAGTACCAAGTACTCTTTGTTCATTGTCTAAACACTCAGAACCAACCTGAACTGTTTTTTCATCAATAACAGAATCAGTTACCTCATCACCAAGTACTCTCTGTTCGTTATCTAAACACTCAGAGTCGATCTGAGCATTTTTTCCAGACAAATCACATTGTTGAGTTCCCATCTTGTCAGTAGTTTGAACCTCCGAAAGCTAGCCAAATTTCACCTACAAATCACAATCGTAAAGCCTAGTCAAATTTCCAACAACAAACATCCAACAAAGCGTTAGAGATAGAGAACCTGACAGTTGAAAACACCAAACTAACAAAAGAGTTGCAGTTACAGATATCATTCAAAATCCCCATTCTTAAACTTGCATAGCAACACCGGTAACCAACAACAGCAGAAAGGTAAAATATATAAGCAACAGGAGAAGCAAAAACGGTAGATTTGAAAGGGAAAGAAAAGCTTACGGTGTGGTAGTGAGTGAGAAAGAAATCTCGGCGGGAAAGGAGAGAGATGGGGGGCGAGGAAGACGAAGATAGAGGAAAAGGGGGGGAAAGTTCGATCTAATGTGAAACGGTGAGAGAGAGAAAGAGATGAGTTGTGTTTACGTTTGTGAGAGTTCCCTTTTCGGAATCTCAGCGCCAATGTGAGAAAAAAGCGGTGCTTCTATACTGCTCCTGTAAATCTGGGCCACCGTTCTTGAACAATATAAGGCTTGCGTTGCATTCAGATTCTGTAGGGTTTAATTAGGTTAAAAACCTGTTATTCGCACCCCTCGTATTTTTGGGTCTAGACACTTCCCGTGTTATATTTTTATATTTATTTATAATATGATCTTTTTACTGTTCATTTTTAAAACAGTTTTAATAATATAACATATTCTAAAAAAATATTCTTTTTTTAATATTTTTAAATAAATAAGAAATTTTGTTATAGGTTTTTCAAAGAAGTATATTTTTACAAAATTTATTTAAAATGAATAGAAATTATTTCAAATTTATTTTTTAATTAAATATGTTCTTAGTTTCTATAAATATCTTAAATTTCATTTTTAGTCTCTATTAAAATAAATGACTTACAAAAATTTTATTTATGAAATTTTAGTTCCTCTTAATTTTTAAAATTTTGAAAACTATTTAATTATTTTAAAAATTCTAAACTTTTGAATAATTTTTTTTAGAATACTATAAAATACTAGTATCCATGCCACTTTCTAAGACAAAACTAGCTGTGGTTAGATCACTCTTTTCAATTTCTTCACCAACTTCACTTAATTGGTACACCATATTCTAAAGATACCCTGCAAAACAGAAAGACCATGCTTTTGAAATGTATTCTTCTTTCTAATTTCTTACATATAACAAAGATTTCATGAAGCCTTAAAATAGCCACCAACCCTCCATAAAAGAGTATCTGTGGATTTCTTTAACAACAAAAAATAATATGTCTCAATCTATAGTTTGCTCCAGTCTCAAATGCAAAACCATGAGACAAACCTTATAGTGCTTTAGTAATTGTGGTCTGTTCAATTTGAATGTTTAGATATGTAGAAGAAATTAAAAAATCAGCTTTACAAATTGGTGTTTAGATATGCCATTGAAAGAGTCGGATCCTTTCCACTGCGTTTTGACAACAGTACATATTAGGCATCGGTTTTTCATTGGGGCATTAGTTTCATTAATTCATCACAATTCATATATATGGTTCAACTACTTTAGTAGTTTAACTTGCAGCATATCTTGAAGCTTTTAGTAGTTTAACTTGCAGCATATCTTGAAGGAAGCTTCTGCAAGAAAGAAAAACAAGTTAGATGACTAATGTTGGTTAATTAGATTAGCGCGACATTTTCTAACAAAACTGTCACAAGCGTGTATTCAAGATTTAAATGACATCATTTTATGACTTGGCAACAAAAACACGAGTATATATATATATATATATATATATATATATATATATATATATATATATATATATATATATATATATATATATATATATATATATATATATATATATATAGCCAAAACAAACTATTCATTACCTCAGTTCGTTGTAAAATTCGACCAGTTGGATCTTCCATGTTTGCAATAATTCATATGTTGTTGGCAAGGCATGCAATATGTCGACTATCATAGTTTATCATGATAAATTTAGCAGTTTGTTTAAAATTCAACAATTAAGTAAGATTAGTTAACTAAATTTTAAACAATTTTTTCTTTACGTGAACCGTCTTGCCTTCTCATTTTTTTAAGCAAGCCTAGCAACTAATGATTTTTCATATCCAGCTGCTTGAGCTGCTGCAGTGTCAGCTTCATTTTTCGATCCTGGTCTCTTCCCGATGTGATTCCAAGGCATCCACTATACTTAGCAAAATTTGAATGGGAAAGAAAACAGAGGAGTGAGAGGACACAACATATTGTACTCCTTTCCACATGCTACTAATCTACAGCAGAGTGGAAAATTTTACATCAATACCAACTTTTTTCATAAAAGAGCAGCAGGAGCTTACTACTAAAATGTCTATAATTGAAGAATCAAGTTCATGAATCCGCAACTGAATTTTCCTCACAACCTATGATAAGATTCGTCAAATAACCGAATAAATGAACAATTAAGCAACTATAAAAGATTAAACAACATTTTAAGATGAGAAACTGAAAAAGAAGCGATTAGAATTTCCTTCTCGTTCCCTTTGCTCTTTGAAAGGAACGTGTTTGGTTCCTGAGGTACATGGAACGCAGGTTTGGTTTAATGGATCAGTTAAGAAAGGAAATACTATAGTTGAATGTGAGAATAGTGAACTGTGTAGGGGATGAGAGACTCGTTGAGACAGCGGCAGTGGAAATTAGAATAAGTAATGCGAAAAAAAGAAAAACACTGTACTGGGTGGAAATTACTTCCAATATCACTGGGATCTTGGAAATCGTGTCTTCAAAGGATGCAATCTCTGGAACATGACAAAGGGCAGCAAGAACTGCAATCGACAGGTTCAAATATGCATCCTGATTGTTGCCCCCGCTACTGGATATGTTTCATGTTCCCATACCTTTTTAGTAGAAAATAAAGATAATGTCAATAATATATTACAAACTGAATATGGCGAGAAATCAGTGGATAATCGAAAAGCAAGTACCAGTTCTAAGTTGCCGATCAAGAAAGAGAGAACTAACAGCCTCGTAAACCTTGTGTAGTGAGGAGCGATCGTCAGCTTTGCAAAACTTGGTGAGCAGAAGAAGCCTAGCGAGACGTTACTCATCTCGCTCTGCTTTCAGTAATTTCAAGCAGTCCTCAAGATTCAAACTCTGGCCCTGTTGTGCTTCCTTCAGAAATGCCATTCAAATTTAAAATATTAAAAGCAGTGGGAAAGAAGAAGAAGAATCAAAGTAGAGAAAACATGATGCATTTATTTTGGTAGAGATATTGAACCTTATGCAGATCCACTAACTTATAGAGTTGCTGCACCAACTTACTGTTTGACTCATCTGTACCAGGAACCAGAGTTGTAAGCCAAGAAATTCCTTCAACTTCGGAGTGTCCTAAAGCTAAACTCTGAAAATAAAAGAGAGTGCATTCAAGCAAACGAAAGATCGGAGAAATTAAAATGGTGAGACTTGTGTTTCTACAAATTTACACATTACATAATTCCATCAAATACTTGCATACAGTAGATAAAGCTTCAAAAAAATAGAAACAAGAAATTAAATTTAAGCAAGTAATAATAACGCATAAGGAAGAAAAATTACCGATCCAAAATGACAGACGTAGACATTGTCAGTGAGCTGCGTGATGTTATCAGATGCACAATTGACAACATATACTCCTGAAATAGAGAAATCAAATTGAACATCATTCAAAAAGTAACATAAAAAATCACCAATCAAACAGAAATTTTCTACTTAGAGGTAGTAACATAACAAATTTCAACCATAATTTCATGTTTATACGGGTGAAATTGAGTGATTTAGATTAGGGTTTATGAATGGGGTATCAATGCTGGTTCGAGAATCGGCTCCAAGAATGACTTTGTCATTGTAGGTAACACTGATGATGGTGGTTCCCATGGAATAGGGGGGCGTTGAAATCAACTTGATCCATGATTGGCGGTAGATTCACAACCAAAATGGAGAAGAAATAAGGTGTGTGATTCGGTGGCCTAACCTGGGGTTGAACTGAATCGAATGGAGAAGTGTTGAAGCAAAGGGAAAAGGACGAGAGAGACCTTTGAATTTGGACAGAAATATTAAATTTTTTCTCAAACCATCGTTGATGGTTGTAACCGTTGTAGAACATGGGGAGACTGGCAGTGGAACAGTGAGAAGGGAAAACAATTGTTTTTGTAAATAACAGTTTTTGTGGAGAAAACGAAATAAGGGATGGAAAAAAATTGGAACAAAGAAGCTATCAATTTGTTGTGTTTTTGGAATAAAACTAGTACTTCTACGGCCAAATTGTTGTTAGATATTATATGTTTATAATAAAAATATGAATGTTTAAAATTTGAACAAACTTACACAATATACAAATGTTGAAAAAGAATTAAATTAGTAATTTGAACAAACTTATACAATATATAATGTGCATCTAAATCTTTCGAATTTGTAGTTGGCACTATCCATCAATACTAAAAATAAAGTAAACACCACATAAATTAATAGAGTTTGTATATTTATATATTGAGATATAAAAGTATTGAAGTAAAAAATCTCTAAGCATCCCAATATCACTCAATAGCATAATCAACCAATGGACTAAACCTGCAAAGAAAAATTAACTCTATAAAATAATTCGTTAAATAAAAAATAAAACCAACTTTGATAATAATTTAGCATATAATAGATAATGTATGTTATTCATATTTTAGAAGACCTCCTTGTAAACAACGTTTGAAGTCTTATTAGTGGCATCACCATCATCGTCAGTGATAAGAAGTTTTAAACCAGCTCATGAAGTCTTATTAGTGACATCACCATCATCGTCAGTGATAAGAAGTTTTAAACCAGCTCATGAAGTAACTCTAGAAACTGCAACATATAACTGACCGTGGGTAAAAACAGATTGTGGAAGGTAGATCCCAACATGTTTAAGAGATTGACCTTGACTTTTATTTATTGTCATTGCAAAAGAAACAGATATAGGAATTTGTCTGCGCTGAAATCTAAATGGAATTCTCATGTCAGAAGGAGTCAAAGACAACCTCGGAATAAACACTTTTTGGCCAATATTATTTCCAGAAATGACCTTCGCCTCAAGCACAAAATTTCCCAATTGAGTAATAATGAGACGCGTACCATTACATAATCCTGATGATTGGTCAATATTTCTGAGCAACATAACAGGCACACCAACTTTTAATTTCAATTCATGATTTGGTAGACCTGAAGCTTTGATGGTATTCAATAATTCAGGAGTAAGGATATTATATGGACCATCAAGAGTTTCACTTTGTTCACATGGTATATCAAAACTCAAATATGTTTTAACTTCACCAGGAATCAAAGATAACATGTAATCATTTATGAGTTCAACAACTTCATTTTTTGGTGTCAAAATAGCCCTATCTTGAAAATATGATGGATCATGAAAATTCTCAGAGAAAGATGGATAAGTATCACCAACTATAGAAGCAATGGGTTCTCCTGAATTTTTAATTATCATATCATCTGGAATTTCAATGTTTAAGTATCCATCATTATCCTCACCAATTTTTCCTTCTCCAATACTCAACAACCAATCAGAAAATTGCTTCATTTGATTTACATCAGATCCTGAAGATCCAGTTTGAAGCCTCATGTTCTTGGTTAATGTCATTACTTGAAAAAAATCCCATATATAAGATGAATTAATGCTGGCATGCACAATATCTTCTCTTGTTCCTTTCGGTATAACAGGAAGGATTTGTCTAAAATCACCACCCAAAACAACTACTTTACCTCCAAATGGAATATCCTTACTATTAGGATTGGAGGAATTAAGAATATCTCTAAAAGTTCTATCAACAGCTTGAAAGCAATATTTGTGCATCATTGGAGCCTCATCCCATATAATAAATCTAGCCTTTATTATCAACTGAGCTAAAGGACTTTTTGGTGCAATGTTGCAAGTAGAAAATTCATCAATATTTAATGGAATAGCAAACCTTGAATGTGCAGTTCGACCACATGGTATTAGCAGCGCTGCTATTCCACTTGAAGCAATTGTGAGCACAATTTCACCTCTTGATCTTATAGCTGCAGATATAGCTCTCCAAATGTAAGTTTTTCAGGTTCCCCCATATCCATAGACAAAGAAAATTCCACCTTTATCTCGAGCAACTGATTGCATTATATTGTTATATATCCCTCTTTGCTCTGAAGTCATCGACGACACCAACTTTTCATGTTCGATAGCCAAAGCTTGTCTATCATAATTAAGTTCATCTTGTATGAGTCTGTTCTGACCATTAGATAACAATGACATATCTGGTTGTGGCATGGCAGGAAAGTCTTTCAAAGTTGTGTTATTGCTTTGTAGTAATTTCTCTATCTCGGCAAGAGTAAAATTTTGTAACTCCTCATCAGTCAAAACCAAATCTGAATTAACACAATTATATTTAATATTAGAATAATACAGTATTATATTATGGTATAAACTTTGAGTAAGGAAAATGATCTACCAATTTAAAATGTTGGCAATTTGATATTGCCACTTTCGTATCAAGCAATACTTTAAATGGCTTTAAACACGAAAAGAAGCAATCAAAAACAGTAATGAAAATTAGAGTCACGAAAATATGTATAAGCTGTTATAAATAATTATCAAAACATATATCCCACTTATTTCATAGTTATAGAAATGGTAGCTTAGATATTTGTAGAAGAAACTAATATATCTTTTCTAGATAATTTATAAGTAATTAATTCCCATATATATTCCATTAAGTAAGAATAATTATTATATTAGGAATGTCTTGGTGTCTAGAATAAAAACAATGATGATATAGTGAACAAAAAATACTTTTTTCAAAACACTATTTTAAAAATAAATATTTAATCATATTGTAAGATCATCATACCTTCAATTTGGAGTTCTAATCTTTGCTGGTACAAAATGTCATCACTTAGATATTGCCAAGTTTTGCTCCAAATTAATTCTAGTTTGTTAAGTTGGTCCAGAACCAATAAGGTTACAAAAAGCTTCCTTAAATAATAAGATGTCCCCCAATTGCTTGCTTCTATGATGGCATTAATGAATTATTTTTCATCGCGCAACAATCCCAAAGCATAGCAAGCATCTTTAAATGAGTCATAAACAACATTGTTTATTGTTCTAATATCTTTAAATGATTTTGCTCCTCTAATATGATTAAGCAATATTCTCATGTAATATAGTTGACCACTTCCTGGATGAATAAATTGTAATCTTCCAATTGCAAATCCTTTTTTCCTCTTTGTCCACTCACGACTACGTTTATTCCAAACAAACATTGAAGGAAATTCACCATATGTAAGGCCCCTTGCTTCAGGATATTTTCTATTTGCATCCATCCAACCCAAGAATTTTGTCACGTGGGAGTTTGGGTTGTTGATTACATCTTGCAATGGAACATCATCCTCAAAAACCAAATACTGTTCATTTGGCAAGTGAAAAGTCAAACGCTCAACAGCAGGTTCTCTATGATTGATATCAAAGGAAAATAATCTCCAAGCTGCTTCACATGAGGATAAATATCTGCAATTATAATACAACTTTATCTCATCTACACATTCTTTCTCTCCTTGGCCAGCACTTTGATAAAATGTTGTTGTAACACGGTCCTGACCTTTATTGACATATTTAAAGAGATATTTTATAGAACGGGATTGGTTACACCACTCAACATTTATATGAGCATTATATCTCAATAACAAATATCTGTTATAAGGTACAACAAACATGTTATCAACTTCAATACCACCCTTCTTTACCGTCATACCATTATCTCTTCTTCTGTATAAAGGAAATCTGTCGTCAGAGATTGTAGTACTATCAACAAATCTTTTAGGAAAATGTTTTGTGCATTTTCCATTCTGCATGCATGGCGAGTTCTTATTTTGACGGCCGCATGGACCATGTATCATCAGTGTTGTTACAATTTGAAATAAGACAGGATCAAGACTTCTGTCAGGAATTTCAACAGATATAATATTGTCAATATCATTGGCAGTTCGGCATCTAAATTCAGGATGCAAGAAAATAAGTATGTGTGAATGTGGTAATCCACGCTTCTGAAACTCTATGGTGTAAACAACTGTAACGTAAAAATAAAAAATTAATATTATAATTGAAAATCAATGATATAAATTATTTAGATTTTTTTAAAAATCAAAATAGGAGCTTGATTTATCAATACTTACCTGCCTTGACTTTGCCAAATATTTTCCCTTCCTTTATGTCTTTAATCAATTGGTCAAGTTTAATCTTAAAAACACGACAAAGCAAATCTGGTATATCTTCTGGTTTGAGTCCCTGTTGCGTCAACACTCTTTGTAATTCAAGCCACTTCTGATTGCAAGTGAAAGTGATGAACAAATCGGGATATCCAGCCCATCTACATATTGCCATAGCATCATGATAGTTCTGAATCAGATAACGTGCACCACTTGTAAAAGACGATGGCAAAACTATCCTTTTTCCTGCATTTGCAGCATCAGTTTCTCCATGAAGTATTGCATCTGTAAGTCCTATATACATCTCAGCTCTTACGTCTTTTTGATGTGTTTTGTACCAATTCAATCTTGAAGACTCTACCAAGCTATATGCATCAACCAAAAATTAATGAAACAATCTTCTGGAATGTAGTAAAAATGGATGCTCTGACTCTTTGTGTTGAATCCTATATGCAAACCACTCTCTGACTGAAACTTTTTGTCTAGCATTCGTGGTCTCATTAATGAATTTTAATGGTATTCCTGGATGAAATCCATCATCTCCTTGTGGAAACAAAATTGAATATTGTAAAGGTAGATACGATGGCATTGTCAAATAAACACGTTGCAAAAGCCCCGATCTCTCCTCTACGATAATATCTCGTTCAACATCTGCAGAATCAAAATCACCCACAATAAGTGCCGCCACTTCAAATGCAGTTGGCAGATTGTGTGTTCGACAATCACGTCCTCTTTTACTTATAAGCCTTAATTTCAAATGGTGAACATTTTCTTCTTGTAGCTTGTCACGGACCATCCTATAAGTTTTGGCATGTGGATTAAACTCATCAAGTGCTTCTTTGATGTCACTAATAATAGATGCCCTCAATGATGATCTGTCATTTTCCATGCTGTAAGTACAATATAGAATATAAAAGTAAGAAAATAATAGTAAATAATATTTAAAATTCAGCAATTTAAAACTACTTATTTAGAAATAAACTTTTACCTAAC